GTGCCCTTACATAGGTTTTCATGAATTTGAGTTGGAATTTCATTGATTTCTAACTTCAGAACAACTGCTTGATCAATTGAAAGTATTATCTGAGAGATTTTATACCACTTTGCATTTAAAACTGTAAAAGTTAAGGGATTCCCTAGTGTAAGAACTCAAAAGAAGAAATAGAAGTTAAGGGATGGCCAGATAGTTCAGTAGACTAAAGCTCTGCTTAGGCGGAGTGCAGGGACCGGGGTTCAATCCCCAGCCCTACATGCCGTGCCAGCCACACACCCCCGGGCATGCTGAGAGGCAATTGAGATGGTGTGGTGGTGCACGCCTGTAATCCCAGTGCCTGGGAGGCTAAAACAGGAGGATCACTATGTGTCCAACCTGTATAGTAAGACTAGTAGACCCGGTACTATAAATACATAAAAAATAAAGATAGGCGAGCGCAGGAAAGCAAGGGGGACATTGCGGCTATAATGCAACAGGGGATGCATCCATAAAACCCATTCTGTGGGCCAGCCAATCCACTTTAATCAGCAGATTAAAGTGCCTGCGAGCAGGCACAGAGGCCATGGGTGTGATCCCTGGGCCCTCCATGCTGGCTGAGATGGCAATGGAGACTGGGTGCGGTGGTGCATGCCTATAATCCCAGCTCTTGGGAGGTGGTAAACAAGTGGATCACTACAAGTCCGATCTAGTAGTGAGACCCTGAACACCCTGTAGACCCTTCCCTAAAAAAAAAAAAAAAAAAAAAAAAAAAATCTCCAAGTCATTAACATCCACTCCATTAGTACAGGCTATAGTCCACCCCGATATCGACTGCTTCTGAGTGATGGGATAAACACTCTATCCTCTTTCACGTTAGCAACACAGATGAACTCTCTTGTTGAGACAGAACAATTGGCTAGCAACTGTATTTGCCAGATTCACTGATTTATTGTTAACGCTCTGAAAGATGGACAGAAATTAGTTATTTTGATAGACACAGAAGTTTTGAAATCAGCTGAAATGGAGTAAAAGATTAGCAATCCAATGCCCTATAATGAAGGACAAGGGCAGCCACAAGCACTTCCCTCTCTGGTTGTAGCAGCCAATCCAACCCCCAGGACCCCCCAGCGGCAGAACAGAAGCTCAGGAGTGGGTTCTGCTCTACTCAAGGCTTATGGTACCTCAAAGACATTTGGAAAACCTGGAAGGCCCAGCCAATTTCACCCTTCTGGAGAGACACAGTCCACAGTGGTTCCCATTGTCAGCCTCACACTGTACCAGTCCAAATGGACTATTTGTGCTCATGTTACCAACAAAAGTCAGATCCATGGTGCTGGAAAAACTGGCTCTCTACATGCCAAAAACTAAAACTTGACCCAGGTCTATCACCATGCACTAAGCTAAAGTCAAAATGGATTAAAGATCTAAACATTAAAGCAGAGACACTAAATCTCCTAGAGGAGAAAATAGGAGGAACTCTTGAAGACATAGGGGTAGGCAAAAGAGTTCATGAACAAGAATCAAATCGCTCGGGAAACACCTGAAAGAATTAACAACTGTTGGGGCCGGGGAGATGGCTCAGTGGAATAAGTGCTTCTTTGGCAAGCACAAGGGCCTGAGTTCAATCCCCAGTTCCGCCAAAAAAGAAAAAAAAAACAACTGGGACCTACTCTTGGTCTGCTCTCTAGAATTTATAAAGAACTAAAAGACACTAGGGCCCCAAAAATTAAAGACCCAGTCAAGAAATGGGCATCTGAGATGAACACACACTTCTCAGAGGATGAAATTAAAGAAGCGAATAAATATATGAAAAAATGCTCCACATCACTAGCCATCCGCGAAATGCAAATTAAAACAACATTGAGATATCATCTCACCCCAGAAAGAATGGCTATCATAAAGAAATCAACCAGCAACAAATGTTGGAGAGGCTGTGGGGAAAAAGGAACCCTTCTTTACTGCTGGTGGGAATATAGACTGGTGCAACCGTTACAGAAATCAGGGTGGAGACTCCTTAGAAAAGTTAGACTGGGGCTGGTGAGATGGCTCAGTGGTCTAAAGCACCTACTTAGAACAAGCATAGCAAAGCACAGGGACCGCGGTTCATCCCCCAGCACCACATGCCAGCCAGCCCCGCCCCCTGGTGGGCTGAGCTGGCCACACACACACACACACACACACACACATAAAATATTTAAAAAAATAAAGAAAACTAATTTAAAAAAAAAGTTAGACTGGAAATCCCATTTAAACCAGCTATTCCTCTACTGGGGATTTTCCCGGAGGATCTGAAAACATCATATCATAGGGGGGACATATGTATGCCTATGTTTATAGCAGCACAATTTGTGATAGCCAAATCTTGGAAACAACCAAGATGCCCATCACCTGAGGAATGGTTGAAAAGATGCGGTATTTTTACACAATGGAGTACTACTCAGCTATAAAGAATGATAAACTCGAAGCCTTTATATTGAAATGGATGCCACTTGAAGATATACTCATAAGTGAAATAAACCAGACACACATGTGTAAATATCATATAGTTTCCCTAGTATAAGAACTCAAAAGAAGGAATACAAATAGAAAGGTATAATACAAGTAAAAGGAAAGCAGGAACTCGAGGACTAACTAATTGAGAGAGGGAAAGGAAAAGAGCTAGGAAACATGACAGTGACAAGCCATACAGTCATATGTAGAAGATGGGCAAGGCAATGATCCTGAGAATCTCTGGAAGATTTTTGTTATTGTTGTTGTTTTGTTTGTTTGTTTTGAATAGATTTTTGAGTTTTATTTAAATCTTACATGAACAAGAAATTGGAAATACAATCACATAAAGAACAAATTGTCACTTTGTTTGACATTTAAGTCAAACAAATTTGTAGGGCAGATTTCAAAAAGGTTGTGAAGTTACAACAATTTAAAAACACAGTTAACCTACTTCTAGGAATGCAAAACATAAAGTCATAGGTTATTTTCAATACAAGAAAACTTAAATTTGTTTGCTTTAATTTCTTAAAACTACTAAGACAAAGCACTAGCTTGTATTTTTATTTACAGCACATCTCATAGTCCTATATAATCTTTTTTTTTTATAAATGAAAATGTTAATAGATTTTTTTTGGTACAAACCTCTGTTGTTGTTGTTTTTTAAAGTCAACAGAAAATGGAAATATACTTTTTAAAGTTTCTAATACTAGGAGAAGATATCATACAATGTCTTTTAAATAAATTGTAAGTCAAAGATACAGTATAAATCTTACAACAAAATTAAGATTAAGTAATATTCAGAAAATTAAATGTTTCCAAACAATTGAACTCAGAAAAAGTTTTCATGATAGCAAAGAAGTACTAA